GCAGTGGCTGTTTTAGATGGGTTTGTTTCACAGGACTCCTGATGATCTCAGGAGGCAAGATTTCCAGCATTAAACAATCCATAAAATAATCAAAGTGGCAGGAAAATCCTATCCATCAGCCTCCCCCCAAACTGGTTTGCAAGTTTGCTCTGTCTACCCCCACTGCAGGTCAGTACTTGGCCTGAGCCTTTGCTGATGGGGAAATGGCCCTTCTTCTGTACTTACTATAGTCACCTCACCCCAGTTTACAACTGAGAGCATCAGATACAGATGAGACTTTTGCTTCTGGGTGCTACATCAGCATCCCTGTTAGCCTGCTTTACTCTCTTTGTCTGGTTCCAAAGCTTCAGATCCTGCCCCTCTGCTCTGCTCTCATGAGACCCCACTTGCAGCACTGTGTGCAGTTCTGGTATCCTCAACATAAGAAGGACATGGAGCTGGTGGAGCAAGTCCAGAGGAGGCCACGAGGATGATCAGGGGCTGCAGCACCTCCCATGTGAAGACTGAAGCCCAGGCTGAGAACACTGGGGCTGTTGAGCCTGGAGAAGAGAAGCTGTGTGGAGACCTCAGAGCAGCTTCCAGTGTCTGAAGGGGGCTACAAGGATGCTGGAGAGGGACTCTTCATCAGGGACTGCAGCGATAGGACATGGGGTGATGGCTTCAAACTGAAACAGGGCAAGTTCAGGTTAGATCTAAGGCAGAAGCTCTTCCCTGTGAGGGTGCTGAGGCGCTGGCACAGGGTGCCCAGAGAAGCTGTGGCTGCCCCAACCCTGGCAGTGTTCAAGGCCAGGTTGGACACAGGGGCTGGGAGCAACCTGCTCTAGTGGAAGGTGTCCCTGCCCGTGGCAGCGGGTTGGAACTGGATGACCTTAAAGACCTTTCCAACCCAACCCATTCTATGATTCTATGATTGCTGTAGCTTGGGAAAATAATGTCAATAGAGTTTGCTGCAAAGGTCTTGCTGGCGTATCACATGATTTGGCCTCCACAACAGACAATAAAAACACTAATGTAACCTTCCATATAAGCCAGCAATCATTTTTGGGCTACTTACTACTTCTTTAACCGTTAATCAGAGGGCAAACTACCCGGCACAAGCACTAGAACGTGCAGGGAACTGCATAATAAAAGTACAGGTAGGAAAGAAAGGCAGTGGCTAAAAACCCTCGCTACTAGAAAGGAGATTTCTTCAGCAGCCATCTGCACTTGCAGCCCTTATCACAGCAGAGCTGCCAGTGGCGGCACCAAAGGTCAGTCAGGATTCGCCTCCACTGCCAAGCTGTCCCCTGAGTCATCCCCACCTGCACGGAGACAGGAAAGTACTGCAATAAACCCCCTGCTTCCTTAGGATTAGAAGCACAACTGTTGGTGCTGTACATAATAAAGTCATGGATACATAAGGCCCTCCTCCCAGCTACAGACATTACTATCTGACTGATCACAGAATCATTGAATGGTCTGGGTTGGAAAGGACCTCAAGATCATCCAGTTCCAAGCGTTAGGATGGCTTCACATCTCCCACTTACCTGATGAGGTTTCTGGCGTTTTCTGTCAAGGAAGACTGAGCATCTGTCAAAAAACAACAACAAAATTCAAACACCAAAAAGAACTTCAAGGCAGTAATAATTTGCTGCGATTGTTCCTTCCTAGCTGTGGGCATGTTTAACAATGTTAAATGGGGGTATAGCCTGCAGCTTTCATAGAGGTACTCTAAGAAGGATAAGACCCTGTATAGCCCTGGTTGTAAAACAAAGAGCCCATCTCAAAATTCAACGCACTGTTGAACTGGGTGGTAGTGTTTTATGACAAAAGGCTTGTACTTCCTCTGCCCTGCAGCACCTGCACCCTCCTTCTCTGAAGGACCTCTGATATAAAAATAGCGCAGAGATAATCCCAGATCTGGGGAGAAGGGAGAGACAAAACCCAACCAAAACCCCTGAACACAACACCCAAACCTTGACTTTCTCTGAGGCAGGTTCCTCAGACATCCCTGGCTCACAACCAATGTGCTGGCCTAAATGCCTGAGGGTAAGCGACAGAACCCTTGCAGTGTGTTCACAAGGCTCCCCCTGAGGACAACTCTGGTTTTAGAAACAAAAGTCAGGCCAGACCTGAATGTAAAGGGCAGAAATTAATGTAATGTTTCACTCTATCCCCCCAAGTTCTCCTTCCCTCTCTCCCCAGATAATCCCTCTACAGCTGTGTGCCTTATTAAAATCATGTTTGTATTACCCTTAAGGAGCTGCCTTAGATCACTCTGCTTTAGCAGCTAACTGCACTTTCTTTGGCTCACAGACCTTTTCCAAAGCAGAGGAGAAATCACTGTGCTAGAGCAGTGCACCTCAACTACAGATGCTAATCCTTTCCTTCCATGCCCTGAGAAAACATCCCCGTAAGCCAAAACTCTCGTGTAGAATACATTTCTATACCCTGCAGACATGCACTCTACATATACATGTGCTTACATGCTTATAAATGACACAGCGTATCATTCACTTACTAATTTTTCCTACATTAAATGGCAGCTTCTAAGGAAAAACCAGGAATCATTTTTACCCCGTCAGCTGTATCAGCAGCTGCCAATAACGGTAACCTTGGCTCCAATCAAGTTGCACATCATACACTTTATTAGTAACCCATAATGGTAAGGAATGATGTCACCCACACATACACATACATACAACATTGCAATCAGATTACCCATAAGGAACTTTTCATTTCCTCTGGAAACAAAGGATAGGACAATACCAAAATCGGAATAGTACAACAAAAATATCTGCTGCCTTCATGAGAAGAACAAAGATGCATACAGCAAATAACATGGGTCTTGCATGGAAATACATTGCTCTTGGGAATAATTTTTGCTTGGGGGGGGAATCACGTGGAATACAATAACTGAGCTTGTAGTCAATGAATCATTAGTAGCCTGTAACACTGAAGAAAGGTGGTACATGCACGGATTGAAAGACAGCAACCAAAAAGGTCACATGTTCCCATTCACACAGGAAAAACTCATGAGTTCACCGAATGGAAAGCGAAAGCAGTAAATCTTACAGCTTAACCCAATTTCACTTGATTGTAGCTGCACAGGACAGCGCAAGGCTTGCTCAAAAAGCATTTTTTCATTGGGCAACATGGGCTGGCAGCTCCAATGACACACTCCAGTGATTGTCTCTGAAACAACGTGTCTTGACCAAAAGAGATGATCAAAAGGATGAATAGGAAAGCCCTATTAACCTGGAATGATTCTTGTGTCTTCTTCCCACTTGTTCCCTTGTTCTTTCTTCCTTGTAAAACATTAGCATTCAGCAACAGAAAGATAGGGTGATAAAGACAAGCACTCATCTATAAAATAAACGCTCTCAAGGACTTATGTACCAAGCTGAAGAAGAAAGCTCCCCACTGCAACAATGCCAGACTATGCCTTACAGGCCTGGTATTTTCACACCCAGCCAACAATGGGGTTTAAGGCCATAAATCCTACATAAGAATGGGTCAGTGTTCTCCGGGTCTAGGAAAGTTTAACATGGTCTGGAAGAAACAAAGAAAGCCGCAGTCATTTTAAAGGCTGATCTCTGAATCTTGTCGCTCCAGGTTAGGGATTGCACAACCTGGTGGGTCCCTGGGAGTTTGGGAGCATTCCTTGCTTATGCTCACCATTCCATGAGTTTTTGTGCATCCTCTAGAGTTCTCCTGAAGCACTTAAAAGCATATTGAAAATCAAAAGCTGATGCATAGGATTGGGATACCTCTCCTCGCTTTGGCTTCCCACTCCATCCTCTCTTGGTTGACATGTAATTCCATTTATTAAATGATTCTCTCTTTAAGCAGTTAGGATCTTTAGGCCCCAGCTCTACTCTTACTGAAGGGCTGATCAAGAATGTCAAGACTAAGAGCCAGAAACCCTATTTCCAGTTCCAGATGGATGTTTGATTGGGTGAATGGTTTGTTCAGCCCCAATCACCCCAATTTATTTCTGCCATGAGCTAAAACCTCAGTTTCCTGACAGAAGATTATTGCATAAAGTACTGGTTTGTTCTTTATTAGCTCTTTATTTTGCTGCTGCTTTAAATGCCTCATCATTGCCTGCAAATAGCTCACAGGTTTCCAACTTGCAAGAGGTGGAGTTTTAAATCCAGGATATAATTAAGCCTTCATTATCAGGAATTGTTCCCTTTGCTGACCCAGGCTGAAAGTGTGTACAGCCCTCGATGGGGCAGCTTGTATCACAGTAAGTCACTAAATGGAAAGAACGGACACAATGAAAGCATCTCTACTTCCACTCCTGTATTCTTGTCTGCCATCTGAGTATCTATGAGCTACTTCTATATGAAGCTACCTCACCAGAGGACTCTTCTCATAGAGCTTGCCTCTCCAGGAGCAGCAAGGTGTGCACGTTTTCTCTCTAGCACCGGACATAGCAAAGAGACATGGACCAAAACAGAGTGTTCCAAGCACGCTTTGCTTATTCTGGTAGGCGTATTCCTGCATCCGAAGCATTTATCATACAAAGGTTAAATCAAGATCATCAAGTTTAGAGGCTAAGTTTAGAAAGCTGAGCTTACAGGGTCCTTTCTATCTAAAACTATTCACTAAATTTACAGCGAAATGAGAAAAAAGAAAAGCATTTCATGATACTTGTCACACTGAAAGACTTGGCTTGGAGTTAAAAAGGTCCTCATACCCAACTGTAACGATCTGTGGAAAACTTCGAGCAGGATTCCACCTTCCGGATGGTGTGACAGCTGTGGGAACTCAAAGAGATGGCATCATCGATGGCATTGAACCTGCAGGCTCAGCTTAAATACTGCCAAAGCTTAAATGTCTGCAGAAAGTTCACCAAGTCAGGTCTGACTTATTCAGTAATAGTAGGGCCCCACTGTGCTGCTATCAGTTCTGGAGGTGTAGAGACAGAGCACGAGGTAAAAGAAAAAAGTTTCAAAAGCACCTCAGTGAGAAATCCACATCCCAAATTCAGATACATCTAATAACACAAGGCAAATGTTAATGAAGTCGGCTCCTTTTGTAACCAAGATGTATGATATCAACAGCAAATATTTCCTCAAAGTGAAACATCACTATTTTCCCTTCACTCATCCTTACAGCTTTTAACTGCACATGATTTAAATTGTACGAGCACAAAAATATCCCTAAGACAAATTAAACGATTCATAACAGAGAAATAAATGCACAAAAGGATAGAACAAGGTTTCTGATACACTCAGAGAAGGTTCAACACACAATGTGGAATTTCTTCAGCAGCACTGATTAAATTCAAGGTGAGGCAAGGATCTTCTTTACAAAGTAAAGGCACCAGCTCTTTGTAAACACGCACTCCTCTCGCTCTTTAACTGAGAAAGCACTCAAACGTGGAGGCAACCTGTGTTGTAGTGTTCCATTGCCTATAAATACTCCACAGTAGAGACAAAGGCCTTTCTCCTCCTTTGTATTTAATAAGAAATGTTTTTTTTCTTCAATTTACCTAGTGGGAGACTCTCTAAGTCTCCCTGGAAATGTTACAATGAATCTGTCAGACGGCATTTTCTTTTATCTGCCTTCTGATACCCATCGAGAAGTTTCAAGGCAAAAGCAATGTCAGTCTGAAACACACACGTTTGCAGTCATCTCTTGTTTTCACCGTTGTGCTATAGACAGTTTCCCAGAAGGAACCATTGCCTTATATTAAAAATACAGATACATTTAAAAAAGGAACTTGTGAACATCCTCCAGCTGTGGAGCCACCTGCTCTGCCTTGTCAAACACACCGGCAAAGACTGAACCGAAAGAGATCAGCTACTTCTGCTCGTGACGACTGTACTTCAGAATTCCAGTTTTTTTCCAAGTATGCATCCTGAGTGTACCTGTCTCCTGACGCTTGGAGAGTGCTCACACAGTCCTCTAGTAATGAAACTGCAAAACCTGAAACCTGCTAAAATAAATACTCCATACAAAAGTGAACTGCCTGCATCATGGGCAAAATGAACTGAGCATCTTCCTAGTTTCCATCACGCAACAATCACCAGTACCACCAAACACATTTTACTACTCAAACACATAAATCCAGTGATTACACCAATTACTATTGTTCAGTAGCCAACTAAACTTGTGCGTTTCTAAAGCCACCTTCTTTGAGCTTTTATAAAGCTGATTGAATTTTTAATTCAGTGTTTTCAGGTTCAACAGGACTCTCAACTGGTACCTGGAGAGGAGGGAGAAAAAGAAAGAACACAGCTGAAATTAAGCTGTTATTCAGCAGAAGCTATTCCCAAACTCAGTATTCCTACATACAGTGTAGTTAAGTAACCAAATGGGGCATTTAGAGAAAGCCCCAGTTTACCTTCTCCCTATAAAGGAAAGAAAACCAAACCAAAACACCAGCCCCCCCTGAAAACCCCATAGAATTGAGTTTTGTAGTATAACTCTAAACTGTACATTTAATACATATAGATATTTATCATATGGAGATGAACTTTCAGGTTTTTTCTCCATGACATTTAAATACAGTAGAATCTTAATGATCGAGGTTTGGTATCAAAATGCTATTGCTCTTTAACAACATAGGCAGCTCTCGATTACTTATGGTGATCTCAGGGTAAGGACTCCAGGCTTTTGTTATATCCTGGCTAATATAAATGAGGCTGTGGGCCAATCTAGGCTAATTCACTAGGTGATAATAGAAACCAGACAAGCCATGGACCACTGCCTACAGTCAGCATGTACAATCCCAAGACAGCCCCCTACCCAGGCTGGTAAAGCCACAGGATGCCACACTGTGTACACACAGCTGCACAGGTTTCAGGTTCAAGTTAGGTCCTAGGGCACCAGCTTAGAAGTTTCTGAACATTATGCAGACGCTAACAGTGTGTACCTGATCAAAGACAATCAAAAGCTGCAATATATGCAAGACACCTACATGTGAGAGAGGATCCTGCAGTGTCTGACTCCAAAAAGCTGTTTCATGGTAGATCCAAATGACCAAAAATCCCACAACACTGAGAAAGTTTCCACTGCCAGCCTTACGCCTCCTAGCAACTGTGATCATCTGAACAACCTGCTGAAACATGGGACTGGGACCTCCTGAACAGCAGGAAGAGTGCTGTGCGCACCCTTCATTTAAACTGCAGAACAGACCCAGCTCTTCATGCAGTACAGCAGAGAAACCACAGCGTGACTTCTGTTCATCAGACACTGCCTTCACTTAAAGGGACTGCAGGCATTTTAAGTAAAATGGGCATCTATAACACAGGCTCCTAACCCAATACTCAAAAAAGGCTTCACAATTTACAATGCTACCTGCAAATATCAAAAAAGCAAGATTCAAGCACTAAAACCTGGAAAATCTTCAGAGCAGAAGGTCTTCCAGGTTTTTCAGCAGAGCTAAGGGGAGAAACAGATACCCGAGGGAATCACCCCATGTGGCTCTGTTGTTCCAAACCAGATGGAAACAGTCATAGTATAAGTTTTTGCAATTCCTCTTTTGCTGTTAATATTATTATGCCAACAAAAGCCAAGCATTCAAGTATGGTAACACAATCATGGTAGAAGAGTCGCCACTTACAGTTTTCACATCCAAATTCATTACCCCTGAATTCACATTGTGTCTTCGCAAATCTGATTTTATTACAGCTGTAACAAGGAAATGAAGAGAAAGCTGGTTCACAACTTTGCAATGACATGCATTTCAAGGGAAACATTTGTACAGTGCAAGTACATAAAAGCTGCTTTCAGCACATACTCAAAATACCTGTACTCCCTCTGCTGCATCTGGAACTTACCAACAACTTGAACTTGCTCCTCGCAAGGCACACGCAGAAAAAGACAATAAAAGCTTTTCAACCACGAGCACTTCAAGCAAAGCTGGACGGTTTTAGCATGTTCAGCACATTTCTAAGTACCAACATGTGTAAGTCACTGGTACTGTTCAGGAATACATCAGGAGTTTCTTGCATTTGGAAAACTGCAAAGTGTCTCCATGTATGTATTTGTTTACATGCATTAACCTACCCTACAGATAGGCATCTGCCTCAGATTCAAGACATGACTCCAGAAAAGGGTGACAGATGGCTGTCTGTACCTTAGCAACATCACCCTTAAAACAAAAGGTCTGCATGCAGCACATACTTAAAGTGAAAACCAGAGCAAACAGAAAGAAACAGCAGCCACTAAACCCTGCAGTTGTAACTTCTGTCAGCCCAGACAGGAAACCATGTACTGAAATCCTAGATGTCCAGGACATCTAAAAACTACCCAGCAATTCACTATGTCAGAAAAGCTTCCATATTTTTACATTAAAGAGAAATCATTACTTACATTTCTGGCTACTTACCCGTTAAGATAATGCCCACAAAGATCCAAGCACAAAGAAAGAGGTTTCCTGCACGAGGACTGTAGTCTGTTGTGAGTTTTCCTTGGACAAGTGTGAAGATGATTCCAAATATCTATGAACAAAGAAGTCGCTTCATCAGGATCACCCAGAAAAGAGCCATCACTTTACCTTGCAAAGTTAAGTAAGGTTATATCTTATAGAAACCAAATTGACTACAGCACCACAAAAGAGACTTAGAAGCCAAGTCTAATGAAAGCCACCTTAGACTCAAGCAGAATGGCCTTCCTGAATATTATTTTACTTGGAGAAATAAAATGATACAACCTGTGCTGATGCATTAAGGAGACCTGAGGAAGTGCCTTCAGACTCTGGGTATGTAATTTCCACAGCAAATTCAAACCCAAGTGGGAGATAGCCAGTCATGAAGAACCTATTGAAGAGGAGAGCAAGAGGATGGCCTTCATCTATTACTACAGCTAAGGAAGTCAGACATAAACACATGGTATTATGAATTAGCTGGTATCCCAAACTGTCCGTTTTCAAGACCTAACACGTTTCATTACTTGCTTCACTGGCTTCACTCCCTCAATTTCATCCAACAATTTTAGACACACATCTCTCTTTTTAAGACAAAGATATTTTAACCTATTTGTCCTGTTTCACATAACCACCTGCACTCCACCCATATGAAACAACCTTCTCTGACCCATCCATGAGCCACTGCGTAGCTGAAGCCAATTGATTTCAAACAGAAGATATCCACAAACATCATTTTATCAGGCCAAACATCCATGCTGGAAGACAAAAAGGGACCATCAGTAGGAGGTGAAGCTGGACACTAAAATGTCTGCTAGAACCCGCTGAGGAAGAAGCTGAGAGGACTCACCGGTGATGGGCTTAATGCAGTTGAGGTTTCTAAAGTCTGACTGGTTTTTAAAGTGAAAATCTCAAGACATTTCTGGCTCTACCTTGACCATTGTGCCTGGATTCAGCACTATTCCCTCTGGGGCTTTTAGATTATGAGAGGTGCTCTTCTGAGTGAACAAAGCATCCAGCATGTTGCTTGGGCTACCAAAATTTTGATCCAAACCAACACACACAGAAGCCAGCCTTCCTTCCCAGAGTTTAAACTCTGATCACTTATGCACTTCTCAACAGAAAGATACAGCTTTACTGCAAAGAGCTTTCTGAACTGGACCCAAGCAAATTGACCCCATACAGGCTGTTAGGTCCATAAAATGTTAAAAGGAATTCTCTGAGAAGTGAGTTGCTTTAGGTTTATTTTGATGTAATTGAAGGTGAAACCCTAGTAAACCCTACCTGTACTGTGTGCTACAGGCATAGAGAGGATGGCAACGGAATATACAGTAGAATCACTTAGTTAAAACAGTTGGATACTGTTTCTGAAGAGAACTGCAGGAAGTCTTCTAGCCCTCTAAATGCTCACCCAAGTACTCCTCCGGTCACGAACACTACTATAAGGTATCCGAGGTCCAGGGTGAAGGTAAATACCAGCATTCCGATGAAAGAGAGAATGTAAATGATCAAAGTAGTTTGTCTGTAACCCAACCAAAATAGAAAACAATTAACAAAAATTAACACTGTTAAGGTAAGGTCATAGCACATTGCTGAAGCATGGAAAGGTAACAGAGACACTACTTATTCTCTAACAACTGGTATTCTACAGCTATAAATTTGCTTCATGTCATTCTGACTCAAAACACATCATGCAATGAGAATGTACCCCTCTTTACTGCCTTGGTTATATGGCTGCTTTACTCAAGACTAAAGACACTTACTCAGACTCTTAAAGAGTGGACAATCACAGCAGATACTATTACCTTAAGACTGTCTTAGTTCTCTCTTATGCTGTACCTCTTGGCCATTCTGCAGCACTGCCCATTACACAATACATCAATATACGAGCAGCCAAATCGAACACTATTAGCAATAAAAGTCAGCCTAAGAGGCAAGCCAAACAAATCTCATTGCAAAGTTCCATTTATATTAACTCTGGAATAAGGGATGTCATCCAAAATATTAAAGCACATATCATTTATAAGCCAAACTACATGCAGAAACACAGCCAATATGCAGCATTAACATCCATTAGGTTTCTAGAGCTCCTGCTCATAACGTACTAAGAGTCACGGAGGAGAGCTACTCCACTGCAAGCAGTGCTCCAGGGCACTGCTTACTCCTGGGGGCACCACTCCGTGGGTAATGGACCCAGGAGCTCCTACCCCAGAACAGAGTTCTGCTCCATGGTCATTCCCTGAATTTAAAGCAAATATTACGCTTGCTAATTGGACCACCATCAACCATCCATTTTACAAACCAATGCAGAATAGGTTTTGAGCTTTTATGCTTTCCTAGGAGAAGGAGCCCACTGGGCCACCTGGCCACTGCATGCAAGACATACAATGCCTTCCTTGTTAGCCATACGCTCCTGAAGAGACAAGAGTACAAGGAAAACCCTTCACATCTTTGCATACTTCTCTCTCATTTCTCTTGGCCAAGAGCCAGTGTCAAGCTTTTGCCTCAAGAAACTAGTCTCCATCAAGGCTGCTACTAAATATCAGAGACTAACTGCATTTTATCGTTGGTTCTGTTCAGTCCTCAGGTTGCAGTGTTTTTCCAAGGCAATTGCACCACTCTCCTACCCCTAACCCCACACATTCCTACCCACACTTACTTGTATGTTTTAGTGTAATCCAGCCACAAACCACAAATAATCGAACCCACCATTCCTGCCACCACCAGTGTCAAGCCAATTCTCCCAGCGTTCACTTCTTCTCCCTTTCAACAAATATTTATATGGTGCTCATTAATAACTTGCTTCCACTCAGAGTCAAGTTCAGACCTCTTGGTAGTCATAAGCACAAACACATACTCCTATGACTCCCATAGCTGCATGGTGCAAGAAACTGCAGGGAGGTACAAAGGAAACCAAACGTCTGAGCACACACAGCACCTACATAACAACACACATCACCTCAGCAAATGTTCAGTAGAAAAAGAAATACAAAGAAAATCCAAGAACCTTACCTCATAATGCGTTACTATCATCTGGTTTAATAGTGTGGAGACAGAATAAAATGCTCCAGTCATAATACCTGCAGTACCAAAGGAAAAGGTTCAGTCATTTCAGGTGTAGACATGTAAATCTGCTATCCTAAAGAGTACCTTCAGGTATTTAAGACTCACATCAGAGGCAAAACCTCCTCACCAGACCTACAAATGGTATTTTGAACCCTGATGGATTTTCCAGCACTGGCTGCTGAGTAATTAAAAGGTTGTCACTTCCTCCCCCCCTAAAAACCACCACAGCTAAAACCCATTGTACTTTCCACACACATCTGGACTGCTCTGCCAGACTACAGCCAGACAGCACCACTTACCATAACTGATCAGCAGAAGTACAAATGGAATATTTCTGAACAAGTTAATAATTGACTGTTTGTAGGAGTAATCCTCGGGAGGCACAGCCTGCAGGACTGCTTGAGACTGACTAGGAGGGTACTTGGGCTTTTCTTCAAACACTGGGGAAAGAGAAGAAGGAACGATTTTGATTCCTCTTTATGCTTTTTCTTTCTGAAGTGTTTGAGTCTGATGAATTTCAGATTAACTTGTGCTTTGTAACACTCCCATGAAACAAATATTCTAGATTTTCTCATGGAAGAACCAAGTCACAGCCACAAAAGATGTGCTAATGATTTGGTCACGTCTGATCGCTCCCCACATAAGGTCAAAGACAGACTTCATCTGCAATGCATCTAGACCTCTGTATCTGAACTGTAAGATTAACAGAGAGAATTCACATTATATTATAATGGCCTTATAGCAGAAAGAATAAGTGAACTAAATACTCTGAGAGGTCACCCCATCATGTGAAGCAGACATACTGTAACAGTAAGCTGGTTGTTATTTAAACCTGGTGCATCAGGTAAGCAAACTAAAGTAAACTGGAGAAAAAATAAGCAGCTGTTTTAAGCATAGGCAGATGCTTTAGGTGTGATGTTGTAAACACTCCCTGCGGTCACCCTCTAAATTATAAAGGAACACTTACCAACGCCTGTTAAGAAGAACAAAAGCGTGGATACTATCGCTGTTCCATAGAACATGATGCTGATGTTATGTGCCATTAGATCGATATCATTCGGTGTATTTGGAACCAAAACAGGTGGCAACAAAAAGCCTATTGCAGTGCCAAGCTGTAAAGCAAGAAAAGAAAACCAAAACTCATTTCACTGTGAAAGTAAAAACTTACAGAAGTAGAAAGCCTTACCAGGTAGAATTCAGAGTTTATATCATAATAAGAATTAATCAACTATGAAGGAAAAGTGTTCCTTTAGCATCATGCTTTCTGAGCCATTTGCTTTCAGTGACATTTCACAACCAGGTCTTTCATAACTCAGGTTTTAACCTTTTCATTTCTAAATGAAACTGCAAAATTACACCTAGCATACAGCACATTTAAGAGCTAAGCATTAAGCAAGCCTTTCTGCAGAAGAATCTGTCTCAGGAAAACACAGTGCATGCACATAAATCTGTATCAATCATTCTGCAACTGAAGTCCCGGAGATGACAGAAGCTACTCTTGTAGAAATGCCCTCCTTGCTCAAAAATACTCCACTTGATGTCCAGATCCTGCCACCACAGTAACAAAGACTGGCACACCAGATTTACTGCAGAGCTGATAGGGCAGAGAAGAGCAAGCGAAAAAGAACACCCTGACTAAGGACCACAAACTTAAAACCTCCATCTGCAACTATTGCTAAGGAAATAAAGAAAAAAAATCACAAGATAAAGCAGTAGTGGGTTTGTATCTGGAGTCAATTCCAAAGCAGCAACTGATTTTGTATGAAGGCGAGACAAAAAACAAGGACTGAGATTTCGTGTGTATATATAAAACATTCTAAAGCATGAAGGAACAACAGCCTTGGACTATTCTCCAATTTATGCCTGCTGCTCCTCCAAAACTAAACTGAATTTTAAAGTGTTAGAACTTTTTTTTTAATTTTTTTAACTGAAAAAAGAAACCAAAAAAAAACCACAAAAAAAAAACCTGAAACTGAATCTTATTTCAGGTAAAAAAAGAGCACCAAAGACTGTTAAGAGCCAATACAGTACCCACAATATTCAAAGAAAGTAAAATGATACCATTCTCCCCTTTTATACCTAGAGAGGTTAAGACCAGAGGGATCAAGAGTTCCAATGAGTGTGATATGCCCAGTTTAAGATGCCAAATACTTGTGGAAATCCAGCATTCCCAACAACCCTTGACAGGTACATCTGCTGCATTCCCAGTGATTTGTGTTTCAACTGCAAGTGATCAGCATCTCAAGAGGTAACAGGAACGATGTGGTTTTTGACAGCTCCATTGTCCTTCCATTCTGGTATCAGCCCTGTTTGCTCTAGCTCTGAGGTTATGGAAAGAAATTCCATGACCAGCTGGTTATAGCAACTGTTACACAGCTCACCTTGTGCAGTGAAACATGCACAGTGAGACTGTATATATTTCACAGGCAGAAGTGAACTGCATTGGGGGATACAGACAACATCACTTCTAACTTCCCACTGCCTAATTGGTCATTTCACTACTCTTACAATGCAGTTTGAGAGGGCTTTTCAATAAAGCAAAAACTGAGGACAGAAATTCTCTTGTTTGACACCATATCAGTCTTTATGGATCACAAGCAGGACTGGGATCTTAAGACCTACATAGCGCACAGCTCTGAGCTAGCAGGGTACAGCACAGCTGCAGGATAAGCCTTTATCACTTGCACAGGACTTCCAGAGGAAGGTGAAAGACATTTTGCCAGTGCACTCCACAGATGTTTCCCTAGCAGAGGGCTGCCAAGCATGTTGGCACACTAAGATCCATCCTTCCAGAAGGGAATACGCTCCAGAAATAACAAAGGTTTCTTTTGTTCACACCTCTGCTCCCATTTTCCTTGTGCAGCTTTCTCACGGTTCCTATCTGCACTCCTGCTGCTGTCCTGCATCACTTCAATCCCTGCATCCGAGTGAAGCATCAGACTCAGAGCAGGATCCCTAGCACTGTACTGCAGAACTGAAGCCCCAGTAACTCCTGCTACTGGGAGAACTGGTGCATGTCAGAAAGAGCAGAAATTTAGCTGCCAAACCTGATTCCAGGGCACAGATGCAAAATTTCTGCTCAACTGCTAAAACAACCAACAACCCCCAAAGTGTTCACTCCAAATGGGGCAGTTGACTTGTCCACTTGAAGACTTCAGTGCAAAACCAAAATGTTTTGGGACAGCATTGGGAAAACTCTGAACAGCAAAGCATGAACTAATGAGCAACCCTAACTGTAAATACGCAACGCCAGTATTACCACTGTAATAATCCAAAGTGCACAAACATAAAATTACCCACATGATAAAAACCAACCCCCTGCTACCTTAATCAAACTGCACCTATGACCTCATCCCACACCAGCGAAGCTGAAGGGAATCTTAATGTTTTATTGCCACAAAACAAGCAGGGACAGTGGCAGGGGGGAGAACAAGGCTATGGGGAGGTACCATCTCTTCACCCATGTTTTCACATACGCCTGTTCCAGCTCCCTGAATGTGGCCAGGACATGAGAGCTTGAGTAAACCTGTGACTCCATTGTCAGCTCCCCACAGTGATGTGAACTCACAGCGCTACACAAAACCTCATGAGCCACCACAGCATTGACCAGTGAGTCCAGGCCATATTTTAAAGAGCAAGAACTAAAGTATGCTGGCACTGGGGCTCTCCATCAAAGGTCACATACCCAATCCCCTGCCAGCTAAGGGTGTATTCAATCAGCTGAATGATGCCAAATGCAAGCGGCAAGATCCTGAACGCGAGAGGAAGAGAAAGCGGAGCAGGACGACTTCTGCAAAGGGTCTCAATTGATGTACTCCAGGCAGCCGACAGAAGCATGCAAGCTGCTATACACTGCCACGCGGCCAGCGCTCTGCAGAGCAAGCCTGGGCGGTATCATCACCTCCATTGCCCGGGCTCCATCACTTCTCCTCTCTCCACCACCACCTCTTGAGGAATGCTTTCTCCCACTTTAACGACCTATTTTTAACCCAAGGCGTCACCAAGCTCCGGAGGAAGCCTCCCTCGCCCCCTACCTGGTTGCCCAGCACAGCCACGGCGCAGGCGGTGGAGACCTCGGTGGGGCCGAACCACACGGATGCGATGCGCGAGGGCAGCCCCAGGATGAAGACCTGTGCCACGGCGCAGACAGCCTGGGCTGCCAGGGTCAGCGCGTACCGGCCGGGGGCCAGGCTGCCGCACTTGAGCCAGGCGCCCAGCCCGTTGAGGCCGGCACCCAACAGTGCCGTGAGGCGCAGGCCGCGGGTGTCCAGCAGCCAGGTCGCGGGCAGGATCAGCGGCACGTAGACCACCATGTAGACCATGGAGAGCCAGTCTATCTGCGTGAAGGAGACGCCGTAGAAGACCGCGAAGACGTTGCTAAGGATGCTGTACTGGATCCACTGGAAGGAGTTCACCAGCGAGTAGCTGCTGAAGACGGCCAGCACCGCCAGCCGCCGCCGCGACAGCCGCGTCTCCACGCGGCCCCCCGCCGCCGACAGCATGGCCTCGGCCTCGGCCTCCGCCCGCTCCCCGCCGCCCGCCCGCCCGCCGTCCTCCGCCACCTTGCCAGGTAGGAAGCCGTTGCAGCGCTGCAGGGGGAGCACGGCGCTGGCCGCCGGCATCTCCCCGCTGTCCCCCTCCGCCTCCTCCTCGCCGCCGTCCTCCACCATCTCGGCCGTCTCCGCACCCAGCCTCCCCGGCCGCGGCGCCAGCAGCCCCGCTCTGCCGCACAAGGTCACCCGGTTCCGGCTCCGAGACCGCGGCCGCCGCCACAGCCCCGCCCGGCGGGAGGGGCGGGAGGAGCGGGACGAGCGGGAGGCGGCCCCGGGGAGGCGGGAGTGGCTTGGGCGGCCCTGGTTGCTGGGGAAGGTGCAGTGGTGCATGTGTGCCCAATATATACGTGTATGCGTATGTGTGTATGTAGATACTTATACACAAACACACAGCCTTGTATATGTGTGTGTATAATTAGTTATTTCATTATTCCATAGCGTAGAATCCTAGAATGGTTTGGGTTCGAAGGGACCTTAAAGCTCATAGAGTTCAAGCCCAGTGCCATGGGCAGGGACACCTCACAGTAGAGCAGGTTGCTCCAAGGCCCTGTGTCCAACCTGGCCTTGAACACTGCCAGGGATGGGGCAGCCACAGCTTCTCTGGGCACCCTGTGCCAGCGCCTCAGCACCCTCACAGGGAAGAGCTTCTGCCTAAGAGCTCATCTCGGTCTCCCCTCGGGCAGGTTAAAGCCATTCCCCTTGGCCTGTCCCTACAGGCCCTTGTCCAAAGCCCCTCTCCAGGTTTCCCGCAGCCCCTTTAGGCACTGGAGCTGCTCTAAGGTCTCCCCTTCAGGAGCCTTCTCTTGTCCAGGCTGACCCAGCCCAGCTCTCTCAGCCTGGCTCCAGAGCAGAGCTGCTCCAGCCCTCACAGCATCCCCATGGCTTCCTCTGGACTTATTCCAGCAGCTCCATGTCCCTCTTGTGCTGCTGCCCCAGGGCTGGACACAGGACTGCAGGTGAGCTCTCACAGAGCAGAGCAGAGGGGCAGGATCACCTCCTCTGACCTGCTGCTCACACTCCTGTTGATGCAGCCCAATACACGGGTGGTTTCTGGGCTGCAAGCGCACACTGCCAGGTCATGTTGAGCTTCTCGTCAGCCAACATCCCCAAGCCTCACTCCTCAAGGCTGCTCCCAATCCATTCTCTGCCCACCCTGTGTTTGTGCTTGGGATTATTACATATATATAAAAGCCTTACAGCCTTTTAAACCCATAAAGGCTGCCCATGTAGGTGACTGAGAGACATGCGGAGATGGGAATGATGTATCTCATCCCTATGATATCCCCAAGGCAGGAGCAGCATAACCACAGCCCTGCGATTGCTGTCTCGGCCAGTGTGTGCTGGCAGGCCAGGCTGAGCGGTGCAGGACAGGCCCACTCTTGATGCCTTGTGCATCGCCAGCCTCCCTGGACACTGCCAGCACGTTCATTGAACATCGCTGGCCTTCCCCTGTGACTTTTCTCTTCATGGTGCCAGTGTGGAGGAATGTACTGAAGTGGTACGAGATGGATGGGAAGAGACAGAGGCTGGAATTACAGCGGAGGGTGTCTGGGATGGGTGCATTGTGAGTTCATCTGCATCCACCCCTGCCCTTCATTGCCTCCAGCGCCGCGGGCTAAACATTCCTTGTTTCCACTCAACCTCTGGAATCTGATTTGACGCATACCCAAAAAACCATCTGCCTGGCTTATGTGCGGAGGTGGTTTGATATCACTTCAGTCAGCAATCTGCCCTCGAACCCTGCTCGGGACACGTCTGCACATGGAGAGCAGTGCCTGGCAGCCCCTGTGACGGTTGGTGATTGCTGTAGATGCTGTACCCTATTAAAAAGCCAGATTATTCTCCAAAGAGCATTAGGAAAGTACAGGAATATTGAAGTTTGTTCAAAACCTTAATGTTTTACTGGCTTCTGTGGGAAATCAGTTGGCATGTGTTCGGCAGGTAACACACTGCCCATTGTTCACGGGTATATCAGAGCCTAATCAGGTCTGAGTCTGTGTGGTCGATGCACTTAGGCACCAGCCTTAAGTTCCTTCACTAATTATGAGTGGTATTTTACTCAAGATCAGGTGATCTGTGTAAGCCATAGGTCCTGATCTTGTTTACAGCATGAGAAATAATATGAACACATGCTTCAAAACACTGTTCTGGCTATGTTTGCTTTCCCTGAGCAACAGTAGTGATGAGTGTGGGCACCGTGGAGTTTTAGCAACTGTTGGAAGTGAATCCTGAATTCGAAGATCACAAGTGTGTGTTTGTTAGAAACCTGCCTTTAAAAATCAAGTTACTTGTATCAGATTCGGAGAGAAAGGGGGGGCCATGAGAGGAGATCCTGAGGGTAGAGCCGGGGCAATGGGGTGTGAAAGGTAACCATGAAGGGCAGTCATGAGGGGAGATCAGTTTGGCCTCAGTGCCATGGGTTAGTGGTGGCCTTGGCAGTGGACTTGATGATTTAAAGGTCTTTTTCAACCCAGCTGATTCTATGATTCAGGCTCTTCTTGCCTCTTTCGTTCATACTAAGAAAAAGCCTGATTTGTTTGTAGTTTTCCTGTGTAAGATCACACGCTGGGGAAATGCCTCTGACTTCTTCTGCCTGACTTCACAGTTCAATTGCTAAGTGCTGTAGCAGTGAAGCCTATTTTAAAACAGGACTTCATGAGGAAGAGGCATAGTGGGAACTGAAACAAACCTCAAAGCAGCAGAATAGCCGGCTTTCACCTCAGGGATGTGTGTCTGTGTACACGTTGGTAGAACTATGCTGAAAACACACCTGAGACAATGTCTGTGAAAGTATTTCCAGCAGTGCCCGTTCATGGTCACCGGGAGCCAGTCATCCATGCTGCTGATCAGCTACAGCGATCACTGGCACAGGTTGTGGGTTGGCCTTGGGGCCAGGGAAAGGACCATGACACTGTGGTGGGTCATCTAGATGTAACGTTAGTGTCCTAAACAACACTTGTTCTTTTGGAAGAAGGGGTAAACGTTGATCTGCAGCTCATTTCATTTAACTTTTTTTTTCCCATTTAATTCTGGATGACCTCAAAGTCCATCCAGAGATTACATTTACTCCTTAAAGACAGAGGAAAACAGGCTTTGTTCTCCTCTCATTCTTCCTTTTCCTACTGTTACAGCTTTGGCTCCATAGAGCAGCAGAGCTGCTGCCACCTAATACCCCCAGCGAAAGGTTCAAATTCAGCCTGTCCTGGAATGGGCAGCACACCTTGGGTTTCACTGCCACAGTGCTCATAGAGCATCATCTCCTCTACCTGCCTGATGGTTCGGCACACTGACTGTCATCTGCTTCCTGCACAGGGATCCCACATGGAAGGAATAAGTGGGCATCAGGGAACTGCAGAGACAAAGAGGCAGTGGAAGGAGCACGTGGATGAAAGTTGCCTCCCCATGAGGAGAGAAGACCTTTTCCAGAATGAAGTTTATTTACAACAGATCAACACAAAGTCAAATCCACATTTGCTGCAGCTGCACTGATCTTGGTGAAATAAAACCAGGTTGATTTTGATGAGGTACTGTTAACACAGTTCCATCTTTGGGGACATTTCTCTCCAGAAGTAGCTTCGTAAACAAGATAAAGGAAAAGGCAAACCAAATTGACAGCGTCAAGGCAAAGCGTTGATACTTATCTCCTGGCTTTTTATTTTTTCATAGGCTTCACAACCATTACTTCTGATTTACTCCCATTTCTATGAGAAACGGGGCCAAGGACATAGTTATTCAGCAAGAGAAAGTTACACCATGAGAAACATCCATTGCAGGAGTCCACTTAAAACACATGGCCTTGGATCTCTACATTTCATGGACAATTTATTAGCTAAAGCCAGAACACTGATGTCAAGGTTTACAGCGCAAGCTTCAAACTGCTGCTGTCCTTTTCCAGTCTACCCTCAAACTGAAAATTTAGTCTGTCCTGAATATTCCTGTTAGTGATAGGGCCAGAAATTGCTCGTGTACACCTAAATGTTAGCAAAGTCGTTTTCCTGAATGCTGTGAAAAAGCTATAATATGTCTTATGTATCAGGAGTCACTGGGAAGTAGCTGATACTGATTTACTCCACAGCAATTGTTTTCTTGTGCCCAAAGTCCAGAAGTCAGGCAGAAAACAAGCACTCAAAATTGCAGGCTGGAGGACGTTAAAAAGCAATTAGGAAAGCAGTATCCTTACTTGTAATGGTGTTACTGTTCCCCCCCTAGCATATGTTCCAGTGGAAGTAAAAGATTAAACACTGACCTATGAGGTATTTATAATGCATATGATTTTCAATGCAAAAGTTGATGTCTCGATGCAGTGAAAACCTCCGTGGCAGGAGAGCGCCAGGTACTTGCCTTCCAGAAATGTTTAAACAAGAAAACTACAGCAGCTCAAGAAAGGGCTTTCAGAACAAAAGATCTGAAGTTCCAGCTGAGCTAGAAATGACCAATTTTAGCAGGATATTAAACAAACCTCAATAAGCTGGACTTGAAAGAAAGTAGTTGGAGTGTCGCATGTTTCAATTTCTTGATTGAAAGCTATTAGAGAATACAGGGGAACACGTAAACATCCTCTTCCTCCTATGCAATCCTCATTCCACCAACATTTGCCCATTCTCCCACAAGATAAAGCCCATTATCCCAATTGGAAAACGAGTGCTTGCAACACAGGACGCAACTGAAATGTGTTTGTAGCTCCAGTTTATCTGGCCACCTCAGGTTTGGAATATGACTGCCCACAGTATGCACATTTGCCAGTGTACTGTCAGGAATATGGGATTATGCTGTTAAGGATCAGAGAAAAGTTCTGAATTTTGAAGTATGTGTAATATACTGCAAACAACAGAAATCTGCGTTTCTGGGTGTCCCAATCCATACAAAAGAGGCAGAAATCTACATCTGGTACTTGTGTTGGGCTGCCATCTGGTTTTCCTTTTGTAGGTAGCTATCAATTGAATATACGTGATGGAATTTTACCCCTGAGGTTCTCACCAGCGCAAACAGGGTAAAAAACCTACGTACACAAAATAAACCTTCTGTACAAAAAAAACCATGTGAACAGATGCAGTAGATGAAATGCATTGAGTTCTTATCTGCCAAGATTAACAGGCTCCTCATATATTACCAGAAAATGTAACTTCCATCTGAATCCTTTACACACAGTAAGAAAAGTGCATGTCCCCACACAGAGGAATATAAAGCATCATCTGCAGGAGGGTTG